GAACTGCAGCCTCAGACGGAGACCGTACCAGAAACTCCTCCAGAGTGATCATATCGTCATCATTGCGACGGTCGGCGTCGCTCTGCTTCTTCTTCAGCTTCCCGACGCGCTCCGGCTGCCTCCCACGACCATCGAGATTCAGTTCTGTTCTTATCCCTTTTCGCAGCAAGGGGATGTGCCGGCGACGGACGGACGGAGAAAACTGAGCCGGATAGACTCAAATTATTAGACAAAATTAGAGCAAACTTTAGCCGCCAATGCTTTTGATTGAGCTAAGAAATTTGTGTGTTCTTTGTCGATAGAGAAATCGCGAAGGGACAAAACCAGCAGCAACCCGGAAGCGAGAAAAGAACCGCCGAGAGAGTAGGGGCGAGCGGTGGGTGGTTTTATGTGAATTTGAGTGAGTTTGGTCCGTGAAGGAGGAAATGATTCACGCTCACCCAAGCATTACATGTGGGTAGGTTGGATTGGGTTGTTGAGGATGATGGGTGAATTCGGTGGGTTTACAACATACATTCGATATGATTACAAAATTTAAATAGTTTTAAACAAAATAAAAGAAATTTTTCAAACTAAATAATATTTAATTCATAAATTAGGTGAATCATTATTTTTGACAATATTGTGCCAATTTCAGAAAGAACCTTGCAATGAAAATTTGCAGTCGGCATACAGAGTGTTGCGATATTTGAAGAGATCTCCTAGATAAGATATTCATTACAACAACAAAGACAAATAGAGAGAATAAGAATAATTGAGAATTAAAGATTTTTTTTATTAATCTGACTTTATTTTCAAAATAACAAGACATCAACCCTTACATAGAATTCCGAAACATAAATAATAATAAAAAAACAGCAATGCCTGCTTTGGATATCTGACCAGGGCGAAGCAGGTACCTCAATACTCATGTCTCGTTCCACGCTACTGCAGGTGACCCATTCTTATATGTTATCTGAAAAGAATTGGGATAGAATGGGTCAAGAATGAGACAGGATCGGGAATATATATTCATGCCCTGCCCCAAACTACTACGGGTCGGATAATACTCGCCAGTCGCCACATACATGAGTCAGGTCAGGTAATACCAGTGAGCGACGGGACGGGTTCAAATTGCCATCATCATATATCTGGTGCCGTCCTATCCACATGTGCTTGCCCAGATCAGATTTTTATCAATCATGTTGTTAATCATAGTTCAAAAAGTCAAAGTACAACGCATTAATTTCGAGAGGAAAAAAAAAAAGTTTTCTCGCCGGAAATCAAACCCACAGTAATGTTTATAGTCAAAAGTAGTAGACTCCGATCACGAGATGCTCTTCCTCATCATCGTCGGAGGAGGGATCGTAGGTGAAAATGTCACCTTCTTCCGGCAGCCTAAAGCTCACCCTTCTCTTCCTGCTGCTACTGCTGTTTGTCGTCCAACTACCCTCATCAATATTGTTGTTACTGACCATGTGATTATTAGTATAGTTATGCTCAACGCCCGCAGTACTCTCGGCTTCTTCCATCTCCAGCAGCATCTCCAAAGAAAAACTCCCCGCTGTATTATTATCAATTTGGGAATCAGGATGCACTCTGTTTTTGGCGGCGGCGATCAACGGCGGCGGTAATTGCCTCGACGTCGGAGACCGCACCAAAAACTCCTCCAGACTGATATCGTCACGACGGCCGCCGGCGTGACCCTGCTTCTTCTTCAGCTTCCTGACGCGATCCGGCCGCCTCCCGCGACCATCCCGATCGCCACTGCCCGCCGCCGCCTTCCGCTTTCTGCTGCTGTTGTCGGTGGCGGCGGAAGCGAAAGAGTTGGGCTCTGTCACGGGACACAAGTAAGTTTTGGTAAAACGATAATTAAAAAATTCTGTACCAGCATATGTGGGGATGGGATTAGGTGCTAACCCTTATAGGGGTTAGTACCGTGATAACTAGCAAAAAACGCTACTAAAACAACGAAATCACTACGGATTATTATAAAATCAATACAACATCTAAGCTAAATCACTACTAACCCTTGGTTAGGACGGTGCTAACTCTTGTACAATTAGCACCGTAACTCCTCCCACATATGTGGCAGGGACGCAACTCACGAATTTAAGGTGACTTAAATGTAATTTTTTGGGGCAATGTATCAAACTTCATTTATTACATTGTAAGTGATATTGCCCAAACGAAATTATTTACATCATAGAAAAAAGAAAGAGACACACCTAATTTCAACTTCTCGCTCCGCCACTGATTGTTGTTTCCTCCTCTTCCTCCTAGGCACCTCAGCTTGATCCAGTCAGCGAAACGGTAAGACGACGGCGGCGCACTACTGGGAGAGGCAGGAGGAGGAGGAGGAGAAGAGGAGTAGCACTCGTCGTCGTCGTGGGGCCGGAGGTAGCAGTCTCGCCGCCGCGGCCGCCGGAAACAAGTTCCTAGACCCATTGAGTACACAATATAATTTTGTTCCCGGCAGGCGATGAGGACACCATTTTATATAAATGTGATTGCTAGTGAAAGTTAGGGTAGCGGAAGTTGCAAGAATGACGAGGAGGATTGATGATTAAGTTAAAAGTGTATTTGTCTTTGTACGTTAATTATGTTACTACTTTGCCGTAGGTATTACCGAACATTTTTAGATTCAATTGTATCCTGCAATTAACGTTCTTGTCATTTTCTCGGCAGGGAAAATAAAAACTAAAGATGAAAAGAACTGAGTCATTTAGAAAAAAAAAATTAGAAAATCACTTAAGCATGTCCAAAAACTAAAGTCCAAATCAAGAAATGCTGCATATTTACAATTTATTCCCTTGATATATATTTTGCCAAGTACCGCCAATACTTTGGGGTTTTTTGTTTTGTTTTTATATGTATAGAAGAACCTAATATATGCCGCCAAATTGTACTCACTACTCACTAGATCATTTTTCACAATTAGTCAACTTTCCTAAAAAAAAAATTTGGTTTAACATGAGAAAATATATTATTTCTAAAGGATATGGCCAAAAGACCAAACTCATGATCAATAATTTTTAAAAAAAAATGATGAATGTATCAAACCCAACAGCAGTTTCTAGCGTTTGAGCTTGAAGTTTGCTAGGTTGTAATACATATACTTAATAAAGCGACAGATCCAGGATATAGTAAAGCACTGGACCGCATTTTATTAGAAAATTAGATACCGTAAAAAAATTCATATATTTTTTACAATATCAATTATACACGTCGATCTTTTAATATAGTGAATCATCAATAATGGAGTATATAACCATACCAATATCATATTACTCTCTTTCAAATAAAATAGTTAACCAATCTGCGAGAAATTTATCGATCATTTGGTTGTGCAAATCATTTTCACCTTTTTCATGAAAAGGTTCTCTCCATAGTAGCTGTTGAAACGTCCAATGACAAATCAATCGACTAATCAATTTGTATTTGTGTGTCTATCCCTATTTTGGTTTCATTGCTTGTTTTTCTTTAGACGAGAATCATAGGAGCTATAATTTTTAGGCTAAATTTAGAGTTGTGATTTGAATATGTTCATCTGGCTCATTTTCCTAATTACACGCAATTTTATTATAAAATAACACTGGGCCGAATGACTAAAATCGATAAACTTATAAGGATTATACTAGCTCCTGATCGAGAGGAGGGCTGGGCCGTGGCCCAGAGTGGCCACCCCTGGATCCGCCACTGAGTAAAGACTATAATATCATGTTAAATATCAGTTGGTTCCAACCAATGTAGTTAAAATAGTGGATTAAAGCTTAAAAGCTTACATTTTATGTTTCTAAATCACCAAAAATGCTTCTGCGTGAAATCACACTTTTCCCTTATTAATGTAGGCAATTTTTACGTTTCTATTTCACCAAAACACTTCTAATTAGAATTGGTCACAACAACTCCAGTTGTTGAAAGAGATTGAATTATAAATCTTATACCATTTACTAACACTTAGAACGATAATTATATTATTATTATTATTATTTATTAACATAAAAGAGCAATCAGTACAATGACTGGTTTTATCATAGAACTACACACATATATTCATGCTACATATTAAAATTGTGCAAAGATCCAATCCTTGTTTCTTTGCTCAATCACGGATGTCATCATGATTAATTCTGAACCTCACCGAATCTTGTGCGCTGGGAAAGCGCCGAGGAGCAGCGCCGCCGCGGAACTGGAGCCCGTTACCCCGGCCACGGCGGTGTCCCTTTCGGCGGCCACCGCCGGAATGGCGGGCAAACGTTGAAGTGGGCACCAAGGCAATGTTGATCAGCAGGAACAGAACAACCACCAAGTTGGCTAACGACAACAATTTACCCATCTTTTTTGCCATCGCTGTAATTCGGAAACAGAGCTTATTGGTTGGATGATCTGGGATAAGCAGAATATGGCATCCATATATATATATATATGGAAGGGAATGAAGCTAATTGTTCCAAAAGAACAAACTCCATCGTCGTGGCTATGCGCGGAGGCTAGTACAGGATTCCGTGGATGTCCGACTGTATAATTTTGTCGTTGTTATGTTATATATTTTGTTGGAATGGGAAGAAATGGTTTCTGCTGACGAAATTATATCGGCTCTTAACCGGGGGATTATTTCGGAGAAACCGTATGGAAGAAAAAAAAACGGATTGAAGGCGTGATTTTGATCACTCTCCTTAGAGTGTTTATTTGTCCCTACTACTTAGTTGCTGGTAGGATTTAGGTAAACCACCCCTCAGGAGACCCTCAAATCAAAGTCAGAAAGCAGCAGTACCTTTTGTGGCTTCTGTATTTGTGTTTTTGGAGAAGGAAAAAACGAGGAGAAGAAGATGAACGTTGGACGAGAAGTTTGGTTGCAGACGACTTTTATAGTGAAAACGACAGTTCCCTTCCGAAGGGTTACGTCGTTTCACAAAAGTCGAAATTCAAATAATTATCCGGATTAATTAATTAAAATAATTCTAGTAATTAATTACCCAAAAACCCACTAACCACCTTATCCAATACTCTTTTGACTTCTCTGACTACTCTTAACAGATTAAGCTTTCGTTTAGTGCAAGATTCGGCGGACATCAACTGTTTAAAAGAGTCGAATAACAAGAAATTAGGGGGTCGTTTGGAGAATATGAGTTTAAATCTACAGATTATCAACAATCTAAAGATTCTAACTCTTCGGATTGTTGAAAACAGATTTTAAAATGTTTATTGTTTGGTAACTGTGATTGTTAACAATCAAGTAAAATAAAAAATTTTATTTTATATTAAATAACATGTTTATCCTTAATAAAAAAATTAGAGTGGTTCGAGAAATATAAAAAAACTTTGTTGATAAATATATTTCATGTGATAAATAAATAAAAGGAAGAGAAAAATTAGGAGAGAAAAAATCTCACGAATCAAGATATAGAATCTCTCTGATTATGAGAGATTTGATATCCGCAGATTTTAGAGATTTGAAATCTCTAAAGCTAGAATCCATAATACAAAAAGTAACAAAAAAACATAATTTTCTACAAAATCTACGGTTTCAATGAATCCATGTCCTGAATCCTGTTCTCCAAACGACCCCTAGATCTCAACCAAACAAAAGGTTAGCAGTAACACCTCTGTCAAAAGGTTCGTCTGTGACAATTCAATAAATTTACACAACCACAAACTCATGTAAAAAAACAAGGAAATCCGATCAGGCAAGAAGCCTAACTCTACGGATCAGCAGATGGGTTAGTCAACAGCTCAAGGGCCTTTTTCAGGTGCTCGACGGCGATCGACACCTCGTCAAATGCCAGGGCTCCAACTGCAAATCGTGCCGCTTTATGTGCCTCGACGATTTTCTCAGGTGGAGGCTGGTAGCTGCTGTCGTACTGGTACGTTGCTGTTGCTGCTGCTGCGGCGGAAGTTGGGATGGATGCATCCGCGGCGGAGCTCATCCTGCTGCTTGAACTGCCATGCTGCTGCTGCTGCTGCAGCGCTGGTGGAGGATGATAACTTGTAGCAGGTGGTGGAGCCGACTGAGAGCTGTACGCGGAGGAATCGGAGGACCCTTGTTGTTGGTAGTAAGAAGGGTAGTGGGATGGCACAGACGGGAGCACGGATGGGATGCTGGTGTCTGCGAAGCTTGGATACGACTGGAAGTTTGGGTAAGAGTAGGATGAGGGATTATCATGAGATGATGGGTAGTTCTGTGGCACATGGTGGTGAGGCTGAGAATAGGTGGGGTTCTCCGATGGATTAAAATCTTGGGAGTAGCCACCAGCAGCAGCAGTGTAAGGTGGAGGAGAAGGCATGATGTTTCCGCCGGAATGCTGGCTGTTGAATGAGTCATATGATTGGGGAGGATGAGATTGAGCCCGCGCTGAATGCTGCTCCCTGTCCATTGAATCATATGACTGAGGTGGTGATTGTGGCATGAACTGTGAAGGATGTTGGTGGTGGTTAGGATGATCGTGGAACTGAGACGATTGTGGAAAGTCTGCCGAATGGCTGCTGCCACCTTGATCATGGAATTGGGACGATGGATCGGACTCTGATGATTGCATTGTGGTAGTTGAAGTTTCCACTTGTCCGACATCCTGAAAAATCACCATTGGGGCACAACAAAATAAGATATTCTGTGCTCATTTCCACGATTACTGAGTGGAGACTAGACCTACACTATAACCGATTTTTCCTTCTTCATTCCGAACCTTGAAATCAGAGTGGAGAAAGAAGTTAGATTTAGCTGTAACTTACATTCCCATTGGTAAATCCACTAGATGGATCCGACATATCTTCATCGTCAACAGGAGGGCCTGGATTGGGTGTCCTTCCCTCTTTCAATGCCTTCCTTATGTCTGCAGCCTTCCAAACTGCATACTTCTGCTTCTGTTCAAGCTGCAAAGTGAGAATGAAGGATAAGGACCTAGCAGAGATGCTATTCAATGATAAATAAATTCAAAGACATGTCTGTCATAAGGATTAAACAATTTCGAATTGCAGAAACTCACTTCAGCCTGGAGAGGCCCAAACTGATTAATAATCTCAAAGAAAATGCTTGCTGCATAAAATGTCTTCGCTGTGTTCCTGTAGCAAGACAAGAACTTCAGATATCGACAACCATTTAACTACCGGTTTACATGCATATAGAGTTTAGTTCAATTGGATCTCAAAATATTGCAATCAATCATTCCGCTGAGTACATTTTGATCTTAAGCAACACAGTAAAGCAAAACCAAATAGCAGCAAAAACAAATCAAAACCAAAACCAAACACAACATGCATTAGCACAGTGCTACCCAATGTTTAAGGAGAGAGAGTGAGAGAGAGAAGGCTAGCCATCAACACAACTAATCCTAAAACTATAAAAAAACGATAGAACCAAAAGGCAAAGACTTTCAGATAAGTTGTTACACTCTTAAAGCAATTGAGATTTTGAAATTCTACTTCTTAAGCATGCAACTTTAAGAAAGCTGCCAACATTTTGCATTCGGCAACCCCAAAGAAAATGAGCGGCAGTTACACATGAGTGTTGCATGCTGAGCTAGACGGTCTCAAGTCCATAAGCAATACGAGAATTCATCCGAATACATATAAGTTAGACAACTACGATTGCCAGAGTTGTGAAGGCCTCTTCTCACCCTTCATATTCTAACTTGTGAGGAGCCAAGTAAGTGCATCACAATCATTCTATTAGACCAGAATACAGTTAAACATCAACCAAAAAGACCATCCATGTGCCTCATAAAAAAGTAATAGTCAATAGAAAGCAAAACCATTGCCATACAAGTCAGCTCGTCCGGCACGATCTTGTTTATCAGCCTTTGAAAAGACATTTTGGGCGAACCCCTCCAGATAATAGTTATCCTCAGGTCCTAACTTCACCGTCTTCTTATCCTGTCAAATACCATACACGATGAGAGTTACAATTAACCCTTTATCAAGCATATCACAGCATCAACAGCAGAAAAGGATCACCATTTTCAACAACTGTATAATAGCAGAACGGAATAACACGGTCTGGGTACGTGATGCACAACAATTCAAAAGGGATCTATAACGAATTGCGGGGATGATACATGCAGCCTAGAAGAACACAAGCCAAAGCCGATGCTTCAAAGCGGATCCTCACAAATTCAACTTCACACATCAATACTAGGAAACTGAAGCACTACATCCAACTCCAACCCAGAGAAAAGGAAAAAACATAGAATCGATCATCAAGGATTAGTTTATAAACAAAATCAGCTAGGCAAGCAAACCTTCTCGAGCTGGCTCATGAGGGAAACAAGCAGAGAATTGGTGGTCTTAGTGCGATCCTTCTGAGGAATCCTCAGTCCCCTCTCCATCGCATATAATCGGCCTGATCAGAAAAAAAAACGGAGTCGATTAACATGAAAGAAACTTACAAACTTTAGGGTTCAAGGGAAGTAGGAGTAGGTTCGCCTTACAGTAGTAAGCGACGAGGGGTTCGTGCTTTTGCAGCTCATCGGCTCGTTGCAGGTACGGCAGCAGAAGCTTGGCTGGCTCGTTATCGCTCGCCGCCATCGCCCGGATTTGCTTTGATCAATTCGCTACTGCGCTACTTCAAAAATTGGGGGAAAACAGAGATGCTAGGGAAACGAAACTGGCGTGTGGCGTGGCGTCTATAGTTTTGGTTTGATTAATATCATAAATGGCAAAAGAGAATGAATGATGCTAAAGTTTGGGATAAAGTAAAAGATTTAAGGGTGTACATATTGGAGGGTCGTTTGGATGGGTGATTGATAATGATGTAGTATTTAGGCATAAATCACTTATTAACAAATTTCAAATGTGGTATTTGTGAAAATTGATGTAAAAACGGATGAGCTAAGCTCCGTTGAATTTTCATATGAGATTAAAAAATGGCCTTAATAGTTGTTCGAGAATCCGTGTCAGTCTCATCTAAAATTTGTTTAGCTATCTAGAAAATCTAGTATACTTCCCTTAAATCCTTTATTTCTCTCCTTACCTCTTTTATGATATGAACCATTAGATCTTTCCTTCTCAAATTACGACCATTGGATTGAATTTTGTAAGCCTACAAAACTCAAAGTTTTATACTTTAATCTGCGCCTTGTTACAATACTATAATTACTTACTTTCACTTTATTAACACCCCTAACTTTTTCTTTTCAAACAACAACTTACACATCAACTTACACCCCCTCCCCTACTAGTACTATCTAATTTGCACCCTTCTCCTATTTGTGTTGTTCTTTTCAAACAACAACTTACACATCAACTTACACCCCCTCCCCTACTATCTAATTTGCACCCTTCTCCTATTTGTGTTGGAGAAGGATTAGGAGAAGTTCGATAATATGTATGAGAATACCAAACTTCCATCCAATGAACTGCTGATTTGGCCAAAATAGTGAGTCAAGGTTAACCCGCTTGAATTTTGTTGAGCTAGACTAACGGTGAAAAGCCAATAGAGAAAGTGTTTGCGGGAAAAAGAGGGAGAAGAAGGTCGATTTAGTCACTTGTCAAACTAATAAAAGCGAGAAGTTTTCAATAATTTTGACCGAGGATGAGCAATTACGGTCAGACCTGATTCAACTAACAAGTTAGATCCTTTGTTTAACAAGAATGTCAATTAACCAGTGTCTAAATTAACATACACAGATCAACTACCTAATTTACCCCTCAACTTACACCTTTGTCTAATTTGCACCCCTCCCCTATTTGTGTAGGGGGAGTATTAAGAGAAGCTCGGGAACAAGGAAGAGAATACCAAACACCCACCTACATGAAGATTGTGACATGATTGTAGCCTGCTTATGAGATCAAAAGTTGGATCATGGTAGACCTAGGGGATTACAGCTTAGGTCAGTGTTAGAAACAAAGTTTCTAAAGGATTTGGAATTGGGGAAATTAACTAGATCAATTAGGGATTGATCAAGCTAGGGATTGGAATTGGGGAATTTAGGAAGAAGAGAGGGGAAAAGGGGGTGGCTGCCGAGCAGCAGAGGAAGAAGAGGGAAGGGAGAGGTCGGCGCATGAGAGGGAGAAGAGAGAGAGGGATTAGTTTTAGATTTTCTGTAATTGATTGCCTGCTTCAAAATAACACCCTACTGCAGATTATATAATCCGCTAATTCCCTAACTCCTACCCAATTACTAAAATGTAACAATCGACTCCCTGCTTATTGCTAAAATACCCCAAATAATCCCCCAATTATCAAAGACCGACAATAATACGAAATAACAAAAGCTGCAAATTATTTGTTTCTAACATCCCCGCCTACTTGGAGAGCAACCTTGTCCTCAAGGTTGAGGCTTCTCTTGCTCCGCTCCTGATTCCTCTGCAACTTCATCCTCTGCCTCGTCTTCCCATCGCCCTACCAGAAACATCAAATCAGGCTTTCCGCATTTGTGGCCAAAGGTGAACCTCTCGCCACAGTTAAAACATTTTCCTTCTCGCCTCTTCTGCTCGATCTCAGCAGGAGATAGCCTAGTAAATCCCTTGGGTGGTGGCCTAGGTCCTGCTCGAATGGCCGCGGAGGGTGGACCAGCCGCCGCACCCCCTCCCGTGCTCGGACCCGGCGCTAACGACCCTGCCCCGCTGCTCGGCCCGCTCCCACTGCCTCCTCCGCTCGGCTTCTGATATCGGCCTATAACTCCCCGCCAGCTAGCCAGCTCCTCCTCCTTATTACCTGCAAGACGGAAAACAGCTCGAAGTGAATCGGGCTCAAATACCCGAACCGCCGCTGCAATCTCCGGGCGAAGTCCCGCCATGCATAGGCCCACCAATGTCTCCTCCGGAACGCCCTTGCATTGGTTACCCAATTTGAAGAACTCAGCTCTATACTCCGCCACCGTCCCTGTCTGGCGCAGCTTGGCCAACTGCTCTGGAGCCCACCCTTCAGACTTGCCGAACTGATACCTCAACTCCTCCTTGAACATAGGCCAAGTGATTAGCGTCTGAGCTTCAGCATAGGTCCGCTCCATCCACTCCCACCACTGCAATGCATCCCCCTCCAAGTAGAAGGATGCCAGCTGAGCCTTCCGTTCTTCCCTAGTGGGATGGTTCTTGAACCACCGTTCCGCGGAGTATATCCACAGACCTGCATCCTCTCGACCATTGAATTTTGGAAACTCAATGGTAGGGGGTTTAGCTCTAAACACCATGTCATCTTCATCCTCACCTCCCCGGAAATAACCGGCGTGCCTTCCATATCCTTGGGCCCCACTGTGATAGTGCTGCGAGAACCGCGGTTCCCCTTCATACCCCCAGTCATCTTCTTCCTCCTCATGATATCTCAGTCTCCGGCCCAGCTCGTTTCTCTGCCCTTGATCACCTGTTCCCGCTCTCATCGGTTCCTTGCCGGTGCCTCGCTGACTCACAAAAGGAGGGTGAGTGCCGCTGTATTGGTCGAATTGGCCTTGGGAAGCTGGGTTCTGCCTGCTGCCCGCCCCCCTGCGCGCCCTACCTGCTGTCCCGGTTCGACCATGGCTCGGCCCCGGTCCGGTTCGGTCGGGTTCGGTCCAATCGGGTTCGATCCGCCCGCTGGGGGCCCGGCTCGGCCCACGTACTCGCCCCGGCCCATGGCGCTCGGCCGCCCCATCTCCCAGCCGCGGCCCGCCTCTCGCCGACCTCCGCCCGACCCGCCTTCCATCCCAGCCCGGCCCACCTGACTGCCCTCGTCCTTTCTTTAATCCGCCCCTGGCCCATACAACTCGTTAGGCCATGGCCCGTGATCATACTCCTGCTCCAGGTCCACCAACTCTTCCCCGTCCAGGCCGCTTGCCGATCCTGTTCCACGTACTCGGCCATCTTGGCCTTGCCACGCGCGCGCGCCACCTCCTGGGCCGATGGGGTTCGTAATAGCCCATCCTTGACTGTTGGGCCGAAAGAGACTTGGCCCGCACGCGACCCGGGTGGCCGGCTAGGGTTGGCCGCCGCCCCGTTCTTCTCACCCGAGCCGTCCGCCGCTCTGTCCGCCGTGGGCCGCACGGCGCCTTGGCCGCGAGCGCCCCTACCGAGGCGGAGCCCTCCCCCGGCGCGTCTCCCTCCGTCTGCGGCTGCCCGCCGCCGCCAGCTCCGGCCCCGCCTTTCTTCCAGGCCTCCGTCAGGCTGCTCACCTGCCCTTGCAGCGCCTCCACCGCCGCCAACAAAGCATCCAGGGTGCGACCGTGATCCCTAGCCCTCACCTGCAGCCCATTCAACTCCTCCTCCACCCGCGCTTGCCTCTCCGCTTGCGTCTCCACGACGTTCTTCAGCTCCTCGATCCCCGTCAGATCCTCCACCGCCCCGTCGAACCCTTCGTCACCTGCATCGGCGCCTTTCTCACTTGCCTGGGCCGCCTTCTCCGCCTTCTCTGCTGCTTTCATGGACTTCGTCGATACGATTGTTATCTTCCCTGGTTCCAGAGCTCAAAAGAACTCACTCTCGAGCCAGGCTCTGATACCAGATGTTAGAAACAAAGTTTCTAACGGGTTTGGAATTAGGGAAATTAACTAGATCAATTAGGGATTGATCAAGCTAGGGATTGGAATTGGGGAATTTAGGAAGAAGAGAGGGGAAAAGGGGGTGGCTGCCGAGCAGCAGAGGAAGAAGAGGGAAGGGAGAGGTCGGCGCAGGAGAGGGAGAAGAGAGAAAGAGGGATTAGTTTTAGGTTTTCTGTAATTGATTGCCTGCTTCAAAATAACACCCTACTGCAGATTATATAATCCGCTAATTCCCTAACTCCTACCCAATTACTAAAATGTAACAATCGACTCCCTGCTTATTGCTAAAATACCCCAAATAATCCCCCAATTATCAAAGACCGACAATAATACGAAATAACAAAAGCTGCAAATTATTTGTTTCTAACAGTCAGCTGCAAGTTGGGTTAGAACATTAGTTGCTAGGAACGTAACAGTGTGGAGCAATGGGATACATGCATAAGAAATCCTCGACACAGATTTGCAGCAGACTAGAGGATAAAACTTCCAAATGGCAATAATACACAGAACAGGGGGGCACAGGGTACTATCTTAAACTCTCCAGTTTATCATGTCTCCTTCATATCTATACCACTACAACAAATTCCTACTAGTAATAACAACATAGATGTTGTGCAAATGGTGTAAAGCCTACATCTTACTCCTCGGCTCCCCTACGGTGAAGCAGGAACCGGTTCAGTACCAGAGACCTGGGAGGCAGCATCCTCCTTTGTTATCGCGACGAAATTAGTAGGAGCAGAAAGCCTCGCCTCCCTTCTGTCTCTACTTCCTGATCTGCTGCCATTCTGAGAAGTGTTCAAAGACAGCCTCCTGCTCGGAGTTCCATTGTTCGAGCCTCCTCCGTTTGCCCTTGGACCAACCTTCTTGGGTCCAGCCGGTCGTGCTGGACTTGGCCTCGAACCGAAGATGGTTTCTTGCTCTGTGTTTTGCTGCTCGTGGTACTTCTTCTGATCCTGTGCCACACAAACAGGTCATATAAATAGTGTTCTTCTGAAAGAAGAACAGAAGTGTCATAGATATTCAGTGGGGATGAGATGAATAAGGAAAGAAGAGAACTCACTCTCATCCTCCGCTTCTCCTCTTCTCTTTCCTGCCTAAGCATGGCGTATTCATCAAGCATGGCAAGTAGAGGAACGCCATCGTATGTAAATTGCAAGCCACGTTCCTCTTCCCATGCCCGTGTTTTGGCAACCAAGGTGTCAACCAGAGCTACATGAATGAGAAACAGAATTAAAACAAACAAATAATCTCTAGCAGTTTTAAGATAACTATGTAAAGGTCTACAAATTCCAAAGAGACCTGGAATTTTGTTGACTACAGTTCTGGCTTTTTCTGCTCGCTTGAGATTCAAGTGTGCACCTCTGCTTGCATTGTACCTGTTATCATCCTGTGGCATTGAGAAAGAAACAGTTAATAATAAACTTACATGTTGATGAATTTAGGAAACAAGATCAAGGATGCAAGGAAAAAGGGAACGAGTTCCATTTAGCCAATACCAGGAACAGTATAGTTAGTTCTGTATGGAGAGATGCACTAAGTACCCACCCGATTATAGTCTTCAAGCCAACTTTCTTCTTCACATGCAGACATCCATTTCTCCACCTTGTCCAGAATGTCCTTTCTGCTAAGAGCTTCATCTTTGGCTTTTGAAATTTGACTATCCATGTCAGCTAGTAACTCAGCCGGCTCCACATTCCCGGCATCTAACCGTGCCATGATTTTTTCTCGAGCAGCCTCAGGATCAATCTCTATATGAGCATGAACAAAGATCTCTTCAAGTTCTGATTGCTTTTTGAAGGCTATTTCTTTCATCCTGCTAGACTTTAGCTGATCAAGCCTTTCAACTTCAATTTCAGCCTTCAAAAGCATAAGGAAATCGAGTGAGTCCAAAAGAAGATAAGGACTGCAGGCCTAATGTTTCCCTTTAACCCCCTTTTAAGATGAGCAAAAGTTCATACCTGTTCAATGAGATCTAGAGCAAGAGCACCAGGCATGTTCACTTCATCAACTGAAGCCGATATGTTGCATGTAACATGGTCAAACATTTTCCTTTCATCGTCCGGAGTATCCATCAGGTTCCACAGATCAATCAGTTGAGTCGCTAACTCTTGAAGCTATGATAACAAAGGGCTTGAATTAGAGAGGTTTCAAGGATTTCAGGAACGTGAGCACCATTGAAGCATATTTGACCATGATACTCCCACTTATAGTTCTTTAAGCATATAGAATCAGTTAACAAGTATAAGTCAAAAGATCAAGAACTAGAAAGCATTGAAAGGCATTCTTTACGCGCTGACCGAAACAGATTGAGAAGCAATTACTTCGACAACAAGCACACCATTGATTATCAAGGAAATATGCTCAGTAATATTCATCTGCAGGCAATAGACCAAGAAAAGAATATCAATCACAAGGGAAAGAGAGATGGAAAACTAGTTACCTTGCGGAGCCTCTGCTTCTTATCTTCCGTGAGCTCCAGGACTGTCTTAGCTAACCTTGCCAATGTACCATTGCTAATGCTTTTGGATTGAACACCAGTAGATTCGTTCAAGCTGGGATGAACATCAGTTACAGTGCTAAAGAAGTCCAACCCAAGGACAGCACAGAGATCATGTACACTGCTCACATACTCAAGGACCTTGTGCAGTCTCTCACTCTATCATTTAAAAGAAGCCATTAGAACTGAGTGTGAAATGCACTTACTTAGCTGGAAATAAGAACAATCCGATCTTGACATCAGGATGAAAAGCTGTACCTTCTCCTTCTGAAGTTCCTGTAGGCGAGCATTGTATTCGTCCAACTTCTTCAAAGATAGATCAGATTCATCAACTACCGGAGTCTCCTTAGTGCTCAAGCTCCCAGATATATCTCCACAAATCTTTTGTATCTGTGACTGCACATCGGAGAATTCCCTCACTCTCTCTTCTTTCTGTTTCCACAACTGTTCAAGTGCTGGTGCTATGGCTTCAAGTTGCTCCTTGATTGTTCCAGAAGTCTTCTCCGGCTGATATTAGAATTATTATGCAAAAAAACAATTATGAGAACCCCAGTTTTCAGAGCCGACAAAAGATGCCACGTTCTCTTAAAACATGCATAACACCAAAATCTAGGAACCGTGTAAAGTGTACTCACAGTTCCAACAGAACTTTTATCCCCAAGGGAAGATAAGAGAGTTGAAAGCTCTATTTTGGCATCTGACAGAGCTTGTAGCAGCTGTGCCCTTGACTTTGCTGCCAGTTCAACTTTCTTCTTGTAAACATCCAAGCACTCTTGATCTATTTGGAGAAGCATCTTATCCCTCTCCTCATCAGTTTCGCCAACCTCATCCCAAATTTCCTGTAGCACATCAAAGTGCTGAGGGTTAAGCTATGTTATCACAGCATATGAAGTCAAATTAAATTACCAAAACATAAGAGCTACACAAACCTGAAGCTTCTGCAGCAAAGTACCACAGGTCGTTTCTGCAACTAAAGGGTTCTGAGTGTCTGTGACTGCCATTCACTTCAAGTCCAATTACCTATAATGCATTGCCAGACATCTTCAGAAAACATCATACTAAAATCTCATTGGGATGAAGCAAGAACATAAACAGGAAATGAAAGATACAAACCAAGGAAGATAAGTTCAAGCCAAGAAAATCAAACCAAGGTTAAGGAGCACTCGCAGAAAATTAAATATGATAACAGAATCTGATGATCCAGCTACAACCAAGCACGACAAACTACAATCGCAACCTGCACTGATCTTTGGAAAACCTACAGCTACAAGCCTTGGGGTCGCAGACATTGACAAAATCGCATTACCATATTATACTAGACAAATGCTGCTAATGCCGTCACTATCAGCATTCAGCATTAAGTTATTGCAATAAGCAAACCAACGTATGCATCACCATGATGCATAGCAGCATCTGAGAAATTTATGCCCCAAAGAAGAGTGCAATGGAATTGCAGAGATAGATTATCTTTATGCTAGATAAACAGTGGCAAGTGAAAGGAAATCAAGCAACCAACCAACCCGAAAATTCCAAAATTGGGTTGTCAAGTTGATTTCTCCTAATGAAGACACTTAGACTATAACAAAGGGAAGTACGAATACAACAAATTCACTTCATTAAATTATCTCAATCGGGTATAACATTAACAAACTCAAGACTTAAGTTCATCAGCGACTAACCCACAAGCCTTAAATCAATCAACTGCAACAAGAACTACAACACAAAATCATCTCATTCCCAGAATACCATAAAAGTGCGCAACTTTCGGACTAAACAACAGATCCCCTCCTACAAGCTAAACCAGATGGATCAAACTTTCCCCACAGTGGAAGGATCAAAGCAAGCAAGCAACCCAGAAACCGAAATGCACCCCCAAGTCGTTCTTCACCCCACAGCAGCAACAACTACCGCATTTTACCAAATCCATCTCAACCCAAATGCTCCAGAACCGAACCAGATCTCTCCAAGCTCCAAAACCCAAGAAAATGAACAAAAACTACCCACATTGGGTATCCCACGCAAGAAACGCAAAGAAGCAGCCATTGCTTACCCAGATCGTACTTGGTGGTAGGGCTATGCGGGGAAGGTTAGTTATGCTTCAGATCTAAAGCTCGCACTCCCCTCCTCCTTCTTCTTCTTCTTCTTCTTCGGTCACACTCACACTCACTGACTCACAGTCTCTCTCTCGCTACAGTCTCAATGTTCGTGAAGCAGCAACTAGAGCAGGGGGAAAAGGTGGGAGTAGAGGGTACAGCTGGTAATTAATAATGAGAAGAGCGACCAAGCAAGCAGAGCAGGCGAGCAGCAAATGCTAAACAAAGAACGAAAAGGACAAATGCTGCTGTGAGAAAAGGAGAGAGAAGAAATCTCGCTGACCGGAAAATTGCCCCGCGGATTCAGAGCTATTTACGGACGTGACACTGTCACTATTTTCATTTTCGGAGGAACTCGAAAAGCATGCATCTCCTGCTAAACGCCGAGTTCGGTCTGGAACGACGCCGTTAGGATCGGACGTTTCCCGGGCTATTAATCAAAATGAACAGACCGTTGATTCCGTGAAAAAGTTCCATAAAGCCACGAAATTAAGGATGAAATTGATCAAATTCAATAATAAAGCATTCAATTAACAATAACATAAAAGTATGTGTATGAAATTGAGCTTTTTGCCCTTTTTTTTAGCTCTGCTTGTTTGCTGTTTCCACTGATACTTCTCCTCGCCAGTCGTCAGTATTCTCCGACTCTTCTTCTTGCTGTCTATCACTGTCACAAGCCAACGAACGCCGACGGAGCTCGTTAATTAAACCGTGGCCGGAGCTCTCTATTTCGTTAGCTCCCACTAGGCTTCAGTCGAACCCAGCGAGCGAGAGAAGAAACAGAAAGGGGGTAAAAATATGGAAGGCGTGGGGTCTCGGCTCGGCCGCGCTTCGTCTCGGTACGGCCCGTCAGCTGCGGCGAACGTGTTCAACGGTCCGGTGAGGAAGTGGAAGAAGAAGTGGGTCCACGTTTCTCCACCGCCGGCGGCTAATAACAACAGCTCTCGCTCCAACGGCCACCACAGCGCCGCGCTGAGCAACAACAGCAGCAACGACAGCTCTCGCCTCTTGCTCTGTCGATGGACCCCTCTCGCTGTCGGAGGAGGCGCAGGCGGCGACGACTCTTCCGCCGCGGAGGAGCCTCCCAGGCGGAAGTTCCGCTACACTCCGGTGAGTATGGCCGCTGTTTCTTCGACCTTTTTTCCCCCCGTGTTCTTGCTGCTTCTGGTCTGTATGGTTCTTCTTTTCTTCGAATTTGGGTGCTTCTAGGGTTTCAATTCAGCTGCTGGCGGGTGGGGTTGCTTGAGCTGTAAGCCAATTGTGTGTGGAATTGTGGATTCTGATCCTTTTTGGTGGTACTGTAGATTGCAGCGCTGGAGGAGAGAAAGAAGGCAGCGAAAAGCGTTGATGTTGAGGTCAAAGAAAGTGAGGGGAATCAGATTAGTGAGTCCAATGCTTCTGAGAATGATGAGCCGGAGGATGATGATGAGACTATGAAGGAAGAGGCACAGGTATCAATCACTTCACTAAACCCTTTTTTGCTGGTGGGTTCTGGTTGGACTTGTTTTTCCACCTTGATTTCGACTGGCGGTTTTGGCTTCTCCCCCTTGTTTGTTTCTTGCATTTGACATTTCCATAGTCATACTGGTTGCGAACTGTTTGCTTTTTGTGACATGATCAACTCCATGGATGAGACGAGGGAAAAAAGATCAGGAGAGGGGCAATGAGATGCTATTATCATTCGGTGAATAGGACTTGTGATAGTTAAACAGCTTATACAAGTGGGCATGACCCAAAGCATGCTGCTTTGAGTCAGCTTAGAACCGTTTTTGTTATAGTGAACGCTACAGATCAGCTGCATGCTCTGCAAAATCCAAGAAATTGCATTGGTTTTGGACTAAACTGCTATATAGAATGCTAGGGTTGCATGTTGGCATGGCTAGTGGAAGAAAAGAGATTATTTGCGATCTAACCACAGTTTGGACCTAACTTTCACCTTGGGGTCAATATTATGGACTTTTCTCTATGCAACTGGTTTAATTAAAAACCAGAGGAAACATTTGGTTAAGTACGTACATTAGTTCCTGGGAATCTGATCATCTATTAGGCTTGATCATTATCGCGTCAAGCTTTTGCTTTTCTCTGATATGGAGCCCTCAGTCTCCACTCCTGTCTAGAGGTTGAATTTTTCTGCTTTCCCGTCTTGCTACTTTTCAGGATCCGGATAATGGCGGTACCCTGGACCTGGGGCTATGCTCGAAAGGCCAAGACAACGAGGACAAAGAGTCCCCCAGCGAGCACAAGGAGGAAGCAATGGAGGAGGCGGCAAATTCAAGCAGGGCATGGGCTTTTGGTTAGACACCAGGAAGTTGTGGCTGCCTTTACAGAAGGTTGTGAGGGATCAATTCTGGCAGTAGCAGTAGTGGTAGTCTCGTCAGAACGAGAACACTCGAGACTCGTCATTATATCGTATTGTATATGGCTTGTAGCTCTGTGTTACCAACCCGCCTAGGCAGAAACCAGTGGTAGCTTGTCATTGTCTATGTTGTTTGGTGTTAGTATGTATCTATCTGAAGTCTAGAGACTATACATTTCAGTGATCCCTCTGTAAGTATCGCAGTAGTTATTTCATCTTAGTTTATCCCTCACTTGTATCACGGTAACAGCAGCATGACTTACATGATGGGCTAACCCTGTTGTTGCAGAGGGACCAAGGCAATTCTTATTGTATACAACTTAAGCCATACCCATACACAGTAATATGCTCGCAACCAACGAGTTACAAGTTGTTAGAACAGGGGAGAAAAAAAATACTCTTCCAGTGTAAGTTCCTCATTTTCAAGACACAAATTTGTGCTTCTGCTAATGCTATCGTGTTTGATTAGCAACTAAAAGACGGAAAGGAAACGAACAAAATGAATCTCTCTTCAACAATTTGGGGAAGGAAGAACGCAACAGAAACCCCTCAAATCTACAACATTTCCAGGCACAACGAGAAGAAGCATCTTCTCATCATAGCTTCCCAGCATCTTATAAACTATCCCAGATAAATAAAACAGACAAATGCCTGAATGATGTCGAACACCGGATGACAAGAACAGTTTCTCCCAAGAGTCTGCTTCTTTTTATCATGACAATTGGATCATTTCGCTTAAGAGTCCGCCTCTGCTTCATTCTCTACTGATTGAGTAACACCGACTTCTGCTGGTCGAATCACCCGTTCATGGAGCATGTATCCTGCCTGAATTTCAGAAACACATACCTCTTCAGCAAAAGGTGTTCTATATTCGTGACTCACAAATCAGAGACAATTTAACATGCATCAGCCATACTATCAAACTACATACACATCAGGAAGAAGCAATCAAGAGCGATGACAGAACTCACAGAACTCGTGTTGCAGATTAAACAAACTGAGAATTCATCCTCACTGTAACATACAGTACCTAAAGTCCCATTGAAAGCTCAACTGTTTTTCTGTCTAATACTATCTAACTAGATACTTCTCAGCAATCGTAGCCATTGCATGACTCCGCCACCATCACTATTTATACAAATCTAAGTTCCTGATCAAAGGAGTAAACAGAAAATAGAAGCACGCAAGCTGTAGCCATATACATTACACCAACGAAGGCATTTACTGTATATAAGTAATGTTTTACGAGAGATATTGTTGCAGATGTCTACAATCAGTGTTAAGAAGGAAATCAAATCTGAGAACAAAATAGTAATGCAGACTGAAATTTACTACTGGTTATCAACTTAATAATAGCATAACAACTATTTTGAGTTTTTGTACGCAACTATTTAGAGTTATTTACCTTCAGAACATGTGCAACTGTGCCTGGAGGTTTAGAAGCATCGGGTACTTGAAACATAGCATTATGTCTATGTGGATCAAAAGGCTCATTTGTTGGATCAAATCTTTCCAGACCAAACTTCTTAAATACCTGTCATTCAAATAGAATAGTAAAATAAAATGGCTATAATGTAAGAGAATCCGAAAGGTCTATAATGCTCTAATGCAGTACAGATCATACCTCCCCAAGTTGTTTCTCTGTCATATCGACTCCTTCTGAAAGCGACTTCACAAGTGGCACCACTCCAGCACTGTCTTTAGATGTATCAATCTTCGCAAAACTCTCTTTGAAAACTGAAGAAGCCCTTCCCAAGTTGTCTGCAACATCCAGCAGACCTTTTGCAAAATTCTACAAATACACACACACATTAAATCAAAATAGACAAACAGTAGAAGGGGAAACGAACTATGTTTGAATTCAAAAAAGAGACCTGAATGGCAAACTTTTTAGAGTTCTCCGCTTCACGTTTAGTCCTTTCCATGACATTCTCATTCTCTGCCAAGGCACGGAGGAATTTATCTTTCATCATCAGGAACTCTTCCTGCTTCGACTGCAAAAGCTCATCCTTCTCAACAACAAGCTTCAACAAGTCATCCCTGGACAGATCATCAGCATCCTCCTCCGAATCTGAATCAGAAAATGCAGTTCGTTTAGTACTACCCCTTCTCCTTTTAGCACATGCAGACTCAGTTGCTTGAGATTCTGAATCAGAACCTGGCTCTTTGCTCTCTCTAGACACTGAATCTTCTGAAAGAGCACCTGAGTCCGCATCTCCGTTTATTTTCCCTTGGTCATTGCTCTGTGTAGCACCTTGTTCCTTTTCTGTTTGCTCGGGTGAAGCAGATGAAGCAAATCCAAATTTCCCAAAGGGAAAAGAATTATAGGCTGATTGATGAAACCCGGACACCTAAGTCACACCAAACAAAAATAAGCCAGACGAAGATAAGATTTTATCAATGTAATCCTATTCAAATTTCTATCTAAAGATGAACATGATTACAATTCAAAATTGAGTCATACATTGATTTCACCTAGCAGAATCCAAATGCTACGGGATCTAAAGATCTTGGTTGAAAATTCTGACAGATAAGCTAGTTAACTAATTGTGCAGAAGCTTCACACTGATAAAGAAGGCAAACTAAACTCAAAAACTACGTCACCTAACAGGAACAGAAACAACCCAAAGCCTAGCGTTACTTGCAACATAGTATCGCCATCAAGGGGACAGCGTAAATTGATGCCTTAAAAGGTAGACCATGTTATTTTGACCGGAAGCATAAGACACTAAACCGTCACTGCATAGAACACTCAAAGCGAGAACAGATTATATACGCAGGTCCTTTATATAATGCCAGACATGATTCGAGCCTCACATTTAAACCTCGAAACCAAAGGTCCATAACCTGAGACCATTACCACCAACCATATAAACCCACTACGCAAAGAGAATAGCACAGTTTGGAGCTCAATGAATGAACTTCAGAGCTAAACTAAAACAAAAGCAATTCACGATATCCAACCAGTAAATAAGAAGGGACTCTTAAACCCTAGCAAAACCCCGAAGCCAAAAATTCGATAATAAAGAAAGGAGGAAACTTTTCGCCTATGCTACTCACATGCTCGAGACCCTGATGAATAACAGGTTGGACTCCAGAAATCTGTTGCTGTTTGGTGGAGGCAGAGGAGATAAGAAGCAGGGAGCGTCGGCCGCCAGCGTTCCCAGCGACGCGAGACAAAACCCTGGACAACAACATAGTAATCGATTGACGAAAACTCCGAACGGGATGATTGAAGGAAGCCGGAGATTAAACAGAGGAGGCGTGAAATTGAGGAGCAGGGAAGAAACCGTAGAATGGAGGTTTTGGGGGGATTTTGGAAGGGGAAAGTGTTTTTGCTTGGAGAGGAAGAAGGGGTTTGTCCGTGGAGATTGTAGAATGGTCCAGAACACTTGTTAGCTGTTACCTAGATGGCATTTCCGATCACCGAACTTTTGACCTTTTACGTTTTAGTCACCGAACCTTCTGTGTTGGCATACTTAGTCATTGAACTCGTACTTCCTTTTAACAAGAAGGAACTAGAATGCCAAGTATACCTCCAAATTTAGGTACTTTGGAATTCCTTATCGGAGATGGTCTTAGCGTTCAAAGAAAAATGCTCCTACCAAAAGTGTTTCATGCGGAAAACGCTTACACGAACAATATCCAACATATGCGAGAGCGTACATTAATGATTGTGCAAGCGATTTAAGATTTACATAATTGATAGCTCAACCTGGATTTTTCATAGGTTGGACATTCATACGTGATCATCAGTTTCTCAACCCGTAACCAACCGAGCATATATACGACGGAACGAAAAATCGAAATGCAACAAAGACGCGCCAAGGATTAACCGATCAATACAGAAGTTGATACATTTAACCACACCAAGACAAGTACTAGCACATAAGCTTTACATATATAAAGGTAATCATGAGATCTTAGATGTCCAACCTTAATGATGTTCATGATTATGATTATTAATACGAGTGTCTCCATCATTAATTACCACCATTACCATCATTTTGATTACCGGCACTATTACCATAACCATAACCACCATCCCCTCCAAGCTTACGGCTTAAATGGCCCGTGCCCTTACTTTTAGCGACGGTTTCGTCAGCGTAACTGCCTCCTAGGTTACCGCCGCCTTCCGGGGCCGCCGTCGCCTCATCAGTGCCAACGGCAGCAAGGCCTTTAGCGGCGGTGGCGGCGGCGGAAGCGGCGGCGGAAGGCATACTTGTACTGTCAGGAAGGCTTTGGACAGCAACGTCGGAACCAGCAAGCATTTTAGCGACGGCAATGTTTGTGGCAACGACCAAGAGAAATAAGACGACCAAGTTGGTGGCGGATGCTCTTCCCATGACGACCAAGTTGGTCGTTAAATGTTGCTAGAGTGTTTGTTGATGGAAGTTGTACTTGTTGATATCAACGTGATCAATATTAAGTCTATATATAGAGAGAGAGAGATTGGGTCGAGCTCGTATGCGTGCGGATTTTTACGTGAATTATTGGGTAAATCAATTTTTCTTCTTGGATTTTCGTCCAAACCTCTGTATCACTCTCCTATTTTGTAATGGGTGGTTTAGAAAGCGTTGTATATGCTTTAACTATTGGAGGAAGTTTTGACATCCCTCGTGTCATATATCATGTTGAAACAACAATGTAACTTTCATGTACACTCGGCTTTTGCTAGCTATAACGTTTAGTGTTTGATTCTTACTGCCGGCCAATTAGTATGAATCAATGAGTGTTTGATGAAATTTCACATGCATGATTATCCATTAGGGTCGTTGTTTAAAGTGACACAAAACATTTTCTAATACATGCATGAATGGATGGAAAATCAACAATATAAGAAAGTAAAGAAGACACAAAGATTTTTTGATTTTCAGTCAACGACAAATAATCTATCTTTTCATTTTCATTGCTAGATCGTAACCTCTTAGGGATGACAACAAAACCCAGATCTACGGATACCCTACCCGATCCAAACTTGATGATGAATTGCGGGACGGGTTTGAATTGAAACTCGTTTTACTGTTTCACGGTTTCGATTGGGTTCGAGTTTAGCCATATCTAACCCACTCCCACTCCCACCTGCACCCAAACCCACGAAACCCTTAACAAGTTAACCCTAATTCCTAAATTAATTGTGTTGTTTCTCACTCTCTTGTTGTTAGGTTGCTTTTTTTTTATAAGAGATCAACATTGATTCTACTAACTCAAGCTTCAAGTCTCGATTTTCAAGTTCTCAACAAAAAAAACGAGGAAAAATTGGTGTTATTGCATTTTGTCCATGAACCCATCGGTACTAACTGGGTTGGGTTGGATTTGAGATTTCAAAACTCGTTGTCGTTGGTATTTTTCGAGCTTTTCTATGGGGATACTCACTGGGTTGGGTTTGGATATGGCAAAACCCGACTCAATCCCATCATTGCCATCCTAAGATTTTTATTCCTAATTATAAAAAAAATGATCAGAACGATCACACTGTTTTGTATGAGGTTTTATGTTACATTCCTCACAATTTGATTAGGAATAACTTTTTTTAAATATGATTCATCAAAGAGTATGATCTTAATTCCATTCAAATAAACTTTTGCCTCTTTTGAGTTGTTTTCGAAGTTTGAAGCTCTGGTTTTGAAGATGTTCATCTTAGACCAAAAAATCAAATGCGTGAATCCTATAACTAAATTCTTTAAACCTTAAACGGTGAGATTAAATACACCCAGAATAATAATCGATGATTTTGATTCGTCGAAATATATTCAGCGTACTATATGCACCATATTATTGTTTAGAGAATTAGGACACGATTTATGCACTCGAGACAATGTATAGTACCATACCACATATTCGGATGAATTCATGGTGTAAACATTACGGTTTAGTCACTTTACGAGATAAGGCATCAAGTGACCCTTAAATCTAGTGATTGGTTAACCACTAATCCGTATACAGTGATATCAAATTGGATTTTCATCTATTGAATCATTACCAAACCCTTAACAAAGGAAAAATAATAGACGCAGCTTGTCTCACAAGTGAAACACTTTGCAGCGTTCATCTTTTGTCCTGCGAAAAGCTATAATCTGTCCCTCAATAACAGGAAACGCCCCATTTCGGTTATAGAGCAGGAGCCAATTCAATTCACAACCATAAAGTTGCAAAAGAGAAAATAAAACTCCTTCAAAAGAATCCGAGATGAACAACTGCACAAACTTGGCACAGCTTTATCACATTCAAAGTGTGACAGCAAACGGGGGTATTGCATAGCAGCAGAGCTCATCGACACACACGAAAAATCGAGACAAAGATTTCGGTACTATCCAAACTAACAGAGACTAATTAGATACGAAAAATCGGGACAAAGGGTTCGGTACTATCCAAACTAAACAGAGACTAATTAGTCAATCACAACAAAGACCGTTGAATAACCACTACAATCTTGAGAAATGATACAAACACTAATCAGTAAAATCAAATGAAAAACCATATATACACAAACAAAGAAGCGCCAGCCAACGATTAACCGATCAATACAGAAAATTATTTATTTAACCACACCAATACAAGTACTAGCTAGCAAGCTAGCTAGGTGTGCCTAACTTCATGTACTAGTACTACAACAAAAAGCTTACATATATAATAAGGCAATCATGAGATCTGAGATGTTCAACCTTAATGATGTTCATGATGATGATTATTAGGAGTGTCTTGCTACGTTCTCCATCATTAATTACCACCATTACTATCATTTTGATTACCGGCACTATTACCATGATCATAACCACTATTATTATTGCCAGCTTTATAGCCACCATTGCTCTCATTTTGGCCGTCGCCGATTCTTTGAGTGGCGCCTTCATCCCCTCCAAGCTTACGGCCTAATGGGCTTCTGCCCTTACTTTTAGTGACGCCTTCGACACGGTAACCCCCACCTTGGTCACCGCCGCCTTCAGGGGCCTCCGTCGCCTCATCGGCGGCGGCGGCGGAAGCAACGTCAGGAAGGGTTTGGACAGCAACGTCGTGACCAGGAAGCCTTTTAGCGACGGCGGGAAGCAAGGTCATGTTTGTAGCAACGACCAAGAGAAATAAGAGGACGGCGACGACCAAGTTGGTCGCGAATACTCTCGCCATGACGAGCTCCTCGTCAAATTTTGCTAGTGTTTATTGATGGAATTGGTACTGGTTGGTTGATATCATTATGATCAACATTTAAGTCTATATATAGAGAGATATTGGATCGAATTCGTAGCGTGCAGATCTTTTATGTGAATTATCGGACAGATCAATTTGCAGCAGAAAATACACTAATCAAATCAACTTAAATCGATCGGCGATTTAGAGAGCGTTGTGTATGCTTAACTAATGGAGGAAGTTTTTGTCATATCTCATGTCGAAACAACAATGTAATTTTCATGCACACTCAGCTTTTGCTGGCTGTAATCGTATAGTGTTGATTATTTTCTATGAAAAAATCTCACATCTCCATTTATAATTTGATTATCCATTACAGTCATTGTTCAAAGTGACACCAAACATTTTCTAATCCATCAATACGCGCACCAGTTGAACAGAGCATAATTTTGATTTTGTTGTTGTCGCGGATTTTATATTCTAGGCTTTAGATATTGGATTTTCTATCTGTTGGAAACAAACAAGTAGATATGCAGCTTTATCTCGCTAGTGAAACACTTTGCAGCGTTCATTTTTTTGTCCTGCCAAAAGCTGTAATTTTGTCCCTCAATAACAGGAAACGCCCCATTTCAGTTATAGAGCAGGTGCCAATTCAGTTCACAGCCCTAAAGTTGCAAAAGAGAGAGAATAAAACTCCTTCAAAAGAGGCAGAGATGAACAGCTGCACAAACTTGGCACAGCTTTATCACATTCAAAGTGTGACAGCAAACGGGTATTGCATAGCAGCAGGGCTCATTGATACGCAGGAAAAATCGAGACATTTCAGTACTATCCAAGCTAACAGAGACTCGGCCTAATTAAACATAACCAAGAAGCTTTGAAAGATTGCTGAGGCTGCCCTGGCCGAACAACAACACATTCAGCTGACACAGATCTGCATCTTGATCGCCAACATGAGCACAGCTGAGACGATGTCGTTTTTGTGTTCTCTCCAAGTGGTCATGTCTCCAGCTGGGCTACTAGCTACCTTCTAATTCAGGTTTCACAAATGCAGCAATGGCATGTTGTGGAACTGGACTGTGCAAGATGAGTTACATGCGTAACAAAAGGAATCCTTTTACTTGCTCAGACGCAAGAGAGTACATAAAAGTTTTCTGGGGTTCCTTTCACCCAACAGAAAAAGCAAACAAGATCGTGGCTGATCATGTTGTCAAAAATTTCCTAGCTGAATTCAAGTGATGGGGAAAGACATATGTGATCCATAGATTCATTTAAGTACATCAATAAATGATGCTTTGGCTTCCAATTTGAGAGGCCAGTTTGTGGCACATGATTGACACCGAGACCGTCATCTCAAATGTAAGCATTATCAGAAAGCAGTTACATTTGCAGAACTTTTAACGAGGTTGACATTCAGATATGGATACTACAAGTCCAGGACCAGCAGAAAAAAGGATGAACAACATGACATTCAAGTAGTTTCAAACCAACATCATGAACATTCAGAACCAAACCTTACGTTTACATTGGCTTCATACTATCACGAGTACAACATACTTATAGAGTCTAAGTAGTGCCGTCGTTCGTTTTGATTATAGAGACAAAGTAAGCATCCGGGTCTCAGTATGCACTTACTTTGGCTCTTTAGGAAAATGCAGCTTGATCAGTGCAGGAAGTTCAGCTAGTTCAACCTGAGACCGCCCAAGAAGGATTCTTTTCAGCTTTTCATCACAATTGACCACGTTCTTGTTGTTGGAATCCTGGTAAGCAAGGTGGGAAGGAATGAGAAAGACCAACAAATAGCTGAAGAAAAACCATGTCAAGAGAAGACACCAAAAAGCTAGTAACGATGGCAAAAACCTGGAGATTGTTGGCTTTGATGTAGGACCAGACACGCGTGAAGCATCCCAGGCGAGAAATTTGAGATTGACCCACAAAGTCTCGCAGAGTCGAAGGAAGGTTCACTAGATCAATCAAATTAGCAATCTTCTTGGGGTTGTCTGCAACAGCCTTCTTCACTCGCTGCGGCAGCATCGTAACTCAAGCTCTCGTCTTTGATTTCCTTCTGCAAATCGGAGTGAAAGAAAACCATAAAAGCCATGCTAAACTTGAACAAAAAAAAGAAGTGCTATCCCGTCCCAGAGAAAAGTTGCGAAGTAAAGAACGTTTATTTTGATGGAGAAAAAGCTCACTGGGGAATTCTGTCAAACACTTCGCGTGC